GCTATCAAATAGCTAACAATCCGTAAAAACTAAAAAAAAAATATCAGATAAGGTTATTCTTTATTAAGAGCCGTTTTATAATCTAGGTTTTAAAATGACAATGAAATGACCACTCATCAGAAACTTCATAAATACTTAAGCCCAATTTCCGACAGGCATTGAAATGACAAAAACTGTAAGCCATTTTAAAAATACCATGTGGGAACAAACACAACGACGATTTTATGAACATAATGATAAGGGTAGTGTTTAATGCCCAACATAGTCAAGAAAATTATTCTCATGTAATGCCTGGTGTAAATTCTGCGTTACATAGATTTTTTTTTTCAATACGGACCTTTTTTTGTTTTCGCTCTAAAAGTGTTCTTACAAGATATGTATTTGCATGCCACTTTTCACATATAGAAATGCAAACATATCGTGGAAAAAATTAGATTTTCTTCTTTACTAGAGTCCGACCGATTAATCGGCCGATGTCGAGGCTAGTATCGGCCAAAAGAATCGGAATCGACTGTTTTTGGCCGATTTTTGAATGAGGTATTGTTATTTAGTTATTTGATTATGTTTTTCTTTTGATATTATAAAAGTTTATAAAAGTATTTGCTCTTGAAACGAATTTAGTTCAGGATTTAATCGGCCGATTCTTTCTAATCAAATAACTAAATAACATAACCTAATTCAAGAATCGGCTAAAACTGTGAGTTGTTGTGTGAATTTTTTTCGGCGGTTGTTGTCGGATTTGGTCGGAAATTTGGTCGGAGAAAAAAATGTGCAGTGGCAACACTGATTGTAATACAAGTAGTTAGAATCTACCTGTAAGAAAATATTAATCATGGTCATTTTAGGATTGGAAGGCACTTGGCATGAAATTAACAGTGGATTTTGTGCCGTAACTCCCAACAAGCCACTCCTAATACATAATTAGCCTCTGTACAACAAGAAATAGTATAGTAAATCATCATTCATAAATTGAATATTGACATTCCACCAAACTTGAAACGCTACACAATAAAAGCTCGACCTGCCCAATAAATACTACATACTCTCGAGATATGAACACGCAGAAGTTAGAGATTTCGACGCAAGCCGAAAAATTTACGCAGGCACTCATGCTCACACACACAGATGAACTACTACACAAAGCTGTTTACACAACAATGTTGAATAAAACCCTGCAGAAAAAAATTGTCAATTGATAAAAAATAGCCCACTTGTAGGTAGTTTTTTTGCGGGATTAGATGTTAGTTAACTAAAAAAGGTTCATGTTATCCTAGTTGAAAAGTAAGTAGAAGTCACGCAGACGTAATTTAGATATCCTCACACAAATTTTACTTTGAATACAATTTTATCCTCACATTCACAAATTCTTTTTCGAATTCATGACAAATAAAATGAAGTTCGAAATTTTATATTATCATATTGAATTTATGCCTTAGCAGAATATAAGGGCAGCGAGGATAACCTAACCTAACCTACAACAGAATATGTAACCAAATATATGCATGTACATTAGGGTGGTCCAAAAATGCATATGAAAAGTCTCCATTTTTATGCTCTCACCCCCTAGGATTGTTCTATACCGTAAAAAATTAATCCCTATTTTTTATTTTGAAATTAAAAAATATTTAGAGGTCGCTCAAAACGCCCAAAGTTTTCCATGTATTTTATATGTGGGGAAAAACAACTTTTTGTAGAAACGGTATATAATTCTTAAAAATCAATATTTTTCGATCGGAAAACTTTGTTTCCCTTCAAGAGATGCCCAATAATAATACCCTATTATTTATTTAATTATTTTTTCATAGTAACTATATTTTATAGGTCCGCCATAACCCCAGAAAATGCAATGGGAGGATAAACAAAAAAATCTTTAGCATTAAAAAATGGTAAAAAAAGCAATTGAGTGAGTTTATTGGAACTCTCCTGAGGAGAAGCAGAGTTTTCCGATAGAAAAGTATTGATTTTCAAGAATACTATACCATTTCTACAAAAAGTTGTGCTTTTCTCACATAAAAATACATGGAAAACTTTGAGCGTTTTGAGCGACCTGTAAATATTTTTTGATTTCAAAATAAAAAATAGGGTTATACTTTTTTCGATGTAGAAAAATCCTAGGGGGTGAGAGCATTAGGATTCCGACTTTACTTTTTTTGGGCCACCCTAATGTACATATAGTGTTAAATATTACTTAAAGTAAATAAATTGAAAAAATATATATGTATATATTTTTCTTATTGATATTTTATGTTCAAAAGTAGCTAGTTACAAGTTAGTTGACACTAACATTTGACTACTTCGCGGCCATCCCCATACATATGAATATAGCTAGTTTTACTCAAAGAAAATATCCAGTAAATAGTTATTTACCTTTTGTGCCTTCCCAATCCACTTCAAGTTAACTCATAGTTAGATCTATTTCCTGCAGGGATAATACAAATATGTAGAATTGTTGTTGCTGCTTGCAATGCATGAGCGTTGTTATCGCCCTAAGATACCGAACAAAAATGATTGCAGACACACATACATATGCATATATACATATGTACATATGTATATAGATTTAGATCAATGATGGGCAAAACGCTACTCGCGAGTAGCGTCTGCGTCGCAGCGCTTATACGTATACAGAAACGACGCAGCGAATTTCAATTCAGTCTGCTTTCAGTTTTCATGAGAGTGACATTATGCTTCGCCGTTGAATATTTTTATTCGTAATTTCAGCGCGTTGTTGCCACCCTATATGTAACAATGCCCAAAATGGCTGCGTATGAGTGCCAATTACAATTTTCGGTTTTAAGAAAAGCCAATAATGCCCAATGCTTGTTATGTGGTAATACGACTACTTGGAATCGTTCTTTTAATATAAGGCGACATTATTTGTCATGGTAAAAAAGTCAAACTGCCGAACTGTGTAAACCAATTTAAAGTTTTTTGTAATGGGTTTTATGTATATATGTATGTACGATACGGCAATTTAATATATTTAGTATACTTTATTGAATACTGAGTTTTTTACAAAGTTTAGAAATTTTTAATTCGTGAATTTTGTTGTTGAATAAACTATGATTTTTTAAAACATTAGTTTAATGAAATTAAATTAAAAAACTTTTCATGCACGTACATATGTACTTATAAAAATTAATTTCATAATTCATTATTTGAAATTATTTCTTCATTATTTGTTTATTATATTTTATTATTTTCGTTTCATGTTCATAATACAAATTAAATATAAATTTGTAAGAGCGTTTTCTAACACGCGCAAAAAACGACGCACTTTTGTACAATATAGAAAAGTGGCAACTGTTACTCAGCGCGATTCACGAATACCATGACAAAATGAGACTGTATTGGTGTGCCCATCTATGATCAGCGTTGCCATTTTAGCCGTTTTCCGGCTAGATTTAGCCGGTTTTGATAGCAACTAGCCGGAGAAAATTTGATCTAGCCGGCAGCCGATTTGTTAGCCGGTTTGTAAAAAAAAGTTAGCCGTTTTTAGCCGATTTTACTATTTGCCTAATTTTCAGGTGCAAAAAGTAAACAAGTTTTTCGAAAGCAATAATGCAGACCCAATGAAGATTTTTAATGAACTCAATGTTTTACTTTCGCATCTATGCTGCCTAGTCGTTATTAGCGCGGACACATTTGATCCTATATGCTCCCCGTTGGAACCATACCTTGCTCCATTTCCTCAGTTTTATCACAGTTTTGAAGAGTATTTAAAAACAAAAGTAAGCACAAACGCTTTTGACCACGAAGCCGAGAAAATAATTCGAGAAAATGGTCGCTATTTTATTATCACTTTAATAAAGGAAATACGCCAACGCCTCCCTACAAATATTGCCAAACTAAAAAAAATGACTTTTTTCGGTTGGAAATGCATTAAGAGTAATTAAACCAAAAGTATTTGTTCAACTACAGCAACAAAAACACAAATATAATGCCGACAAAAAAACATCCATAGAGATGCAATGGCAACGGTTAACGTTACATACCTGGAGTAATTTAGACTCACCTGTAAAATTTTGGGCCGAAGTTTATCAATTTCAAAATGCCCTAGGAGAAAACCCTTTTGCTGACCTTTGCAACCTAGTTTTCTTGTTTTCCCTATAAGTAATGCAGAAGTAGAGCGAATATTTAGTTCAATGAATATAATAAAAACTAAGCAAAGAAATCCAATGTGCGTTAAAACGTTAAACGCTATTTTATATATAAGATACGGTTTAAAACGTGAAGAAAAATGCTGCCATAATTTTACTGTAGATGACGATCTCTTAAAATTAATGAATTCAGGTGATATATACAATAGTGATTCATTTGATGATGAGGAATATACACTCGATATAAATTAATGGTGTTAACTAGTCTTTCGTTTCTTGCGATTTATTTAAATAAAGCATGTGGATTTTCACTAAAACATTTTAGCCGTTTTTTGCCAGAGTCTATGTGAAATTTCACTAAAACATTTTAGCCGTTTTTAGCCGCTTTGTTTTGCCAATCTAGCCGGTCGGCCCAAAAAGTTCTGGCAACACTGTCTATGATTTAGATATATTCGTTGCGCACGAAGTAGCGAGTTGTCACGGCAGCTGTTCTTTGCGAGACTTAAGTTCTGAACACATTGAAAACGACGAGCTACGGACCACAGCTTCCAATTTGTCATCTTCATTATCTAAACGCTTTGTCGATGGCGACATGATTTCTTTGAACGCGGCAGCGACATCATGAATTTGTAAGAGTTTGACATAAAAGAAGAGGAAGAACCTTATCTGTCGCCAGAAAAATAGAAATAGATCTAATCTGGCCACAACCACAGCCGTCGCGTAGCCCGGTCGTCCCCAAAATAATTATCTACATAAGAGTACGTGTTAAAATAATTTGACAGCTGTGGTTTGTAGCTCGTCGTTTTCATTGTGTTCGGGCTATTACGCCTGCTCGAGTATTCGCTGCTTGCAGCTCACCAAATAATTTAATTCGTCGTTTCAGTAGGACATGATCAGTCCTTTGGTAGATGTCAACATTTTAACGAAAGTGTAGATTCATACGTACTTGTAAAGTTGGCATATCTATTATTAAAATGCAATAAACGTTTTGTGGGAGAAATAAGTGGAAAAACACACATACGCGTGCACCGGAAAACGTTGGCTAGCGCAGAAAATTTAAAAGCATTGCATAGTTTTGGACTGAAATTTCGAAATTTTTTGGAGAATTGCAATACTTTTGTTTTTTAGAAATCAGCACAAATACATTTTCAGTGGCTAATGAATTCCAAGCTCCTTAATCTGGTGTAAGTGGAAATTTTGTGTTCTGTGGTATTAGTGTAAAGCTTTGTGTATGTGTGTGCCGTTGTGTGTGTGTGTGTGACGTGAGGACGTAGTAAATGTTGTTGGTATACGCGAATAGTGCAAAGCTAGCAGCTGGAGAAAATGAAAAAAGCAGCTGAAGTGAAGGAGTCGCCGCAGCAGCAGCCACAGGCGCAGTAATGTCAACGTCAACAGTTTGAAGTGTAAAGGTTTTCTTTTGAGAGAATTTTCAAGGGGGGTTTCATGGGTTTTTGTAGCTAATTTTTAGCTATTAGAAACACTTTCCATACTTATATCACAATTTCAAAAACTTGAGCGTTAATAGAGATTAACAATATGCTATCGGCAGCACTCGTGAAACCCATTTTCATATACGCCTAAGCAAATATAAATACAAATAAAAAAACTCAGCCGCCCATTCGCCAGCCAATTACGCCATTCTACAAGCACTCTGCCCACACAAGCCCGTAGCATGTATTTCAATTTCCTAATCAGATCAGCATTGCGAAGGGTTCCTTTTCCATTTTTTATTCTTTTATTTTTACAAAACCTATCTGCAAATCACCACTGTCATCGTCATCGCAAACGCCCACTAACCAGCAAAAAATTGCTTGTTATCTACATACATACACATTCACAATAACGTAGAGGGGAAATGTTTAGTACCACTCACACCGTTTTTTGGGTGGGGGGCGAAGGGCGAGGGGGCGGGCCCCCAAAACCTCCCCAATAGAAAGGAGACAGTCGCCGCTTTCTAAAAAGGGAACCCCCCCTTGGACTCCTCCCACAGGCTCCTAGGGAACCGTTTGAAAAAGGGGGAAAAACGGATTTTTCTTAGGCAAACTGAGCAGTTTGATGTGGAATATGACCCAACTAACAGAAACCGTGGGATTTTTTAATAAAAGAAATTATGCCAAATTAGATATGGGGGGATTTTGAATAAAGAATAAAAAGTTAATTAAAAATAGAAAAAAAAAAGTTTTTATAAAAAAAAATGTTCTTTTTAACAAATGTATTTTTGCGTAGAATTCTTTTCTACGTAAGCGGCCTTCGGCCGCACTTAGGGATTATAACCCTCAGGCAGTAGAATTCTTCTTTCTGTGTTGCCAAAGAAGGGGGGCTGAACCCCTTTTGCAGAGAACACCTTTCTGCGTAGGCGGCCTTAGGCCGCACTTAGGGATTATAACCCTCAGGCAGTAGAATTCTCCTTTATGTTTTGCCAAAGAAGGGGGGCTGAACACCTTTTGCAGAGAACACCTTTCTGCGTAGGCGGCCTTCGGCCGCACTTAGGGATTATAACCCTCAGGCAGTAGAATTCTCCTTTCTGTGTTGCCAAAGAAGGGGGGCTGAACACCTTTTGCAGAGAACACATTTCTGCGTAGGCGGCCTTCGGCCGCACTTAGGGATTATAACCCTCAGGCAGTAGAATTCTCCTTTCTGTGTTGCCAAAGAAGGGGGGCTGAACCCCTTTTGCAGAGAACACCTTTCTGC